CATTCCTTCCCAGGAGGATTGGGCCAGGTGCACTCACTACTGTCCCCTCATGGTCATGGGTACTCCTGCACTGCCCTGTTGGAGAGAAGCAAAGATTAGACCCAATCCAGGGAGTTAGTACTAGAGTTTGAAGCATTTTTGATCTTGGAGCAATGTGGACAAACATTCATACTTCATCCAGATCTGCAATTGGCAGTTAGCAAATACTTACCAAGCCCCTCCTAAAAACTCAGTGAAGGAGTATAGTGAAAACAATACAAAAAAAACTTTGATACTGGGGTAATGACTGCTTTCACTCAGGCTGCGACTGGACTCCAAAATGAGGAATTCAAGCCATTGATATTAGAGAAAACACATTTTATGAAACTATGTGGTGTTACATAGAGTCACATGTTAGGATAAGTGTACATAGGTCATGATAATTCAACAATGGTTGTGTTTGTGGGAATGTCAAGTGCCTGGCTGACATTAAACTTCATTCCAATAAGTTGTTCTAACCCCAAGCTTTAATTTAGTACACACAATGCAAAGCTAACTTTAATTCAAGTTCCATGCTGGGAACTTATTCAAGATCGCCTTCCTTCTGCGAATTGGTTAGGTTCTTACCACAGACTGTTAAACCTCCATTAAGGCTCTTCAGATCTGTGGCATGCATTCCTATATCTGTAACTATTAAATCCAGGCCTGCTTAGTTATGGTCATTGAGAGGGACAAGTCAAGCTTCAGAGATGGATTTATAGCTCACCTTTACATGAAGACCCTTTCACTGTCCACAAACAATTAAACCTCAGACAGGCCAGCAGAAACTTCTTAAAACAAGTTAATCCAAAACCCAAATCAGGAACAGATGGCTTCCCAATTCAGACTGTACATAGGAGGACATTCAGCCCCTCAACCTATTCTATTTGGCAGTTTGGTGGCTGATCAGATTGGGATCACAACTCCACTCCATTCACCTGGGGGACAGTAATTGCTGGCTGGGCCAGCATTTATTGCCAGAAGGTGGTGATGGGCTGCTTCATTGAACTGCTGCAGTCAGTGTGTCTACTCCCCCAACCCATCATGCTCACTGGCCTGACACCAAGTGGCACAATTGAATTCTTTAGAAAAAGAGAATCTTAAATTGAAGCTGACAACTCAAACTGAGCCTAGCTCTAGTCTGGAGACCATCCTTCAGCAGCCACCTTATCAGATCCTCATTGAGTGATCACCTCATTCTAACCTTTCAGGAAGCTCAATTGTTCAAGGTAACCCATTGCTGCAGAGTCAATGCAAAGCTTCTGAACTGTTTCTATGCATTGTCACAGAAATGTGGTCACCTAGATTAAACTAGGTGTGTTCTTACTGGTGGTTGGAGCAACTATTGTTAAACATTCTACTGTACATTCTTTCCAAAGTAGTTGCTGCACCTGCAAACTAATCACAATCCACATGGAGAGCCTTTCACTACATTATTTGTCCAGACAATGCTTTTCTATTCTTCCTGAAGTAGTGGAAGATCTGTTACATTCTACCAAACTCGTGCCTACTTGAAATTACAACACTTGTGTCCACAGGATGTGGACTTCTCCAGCTATGCCAGAATTTATGGCCCTTTCCAGTGGGCCTAGAGGGTAATTAAGAGTCACCACATTGCCATGGGTCTGAAGACTAGTATGGGTCATGCTAGGCAAGGACAGATTTCTTCCCTAAAAGAAGAGAGATTTTTCAGAAAAAAAACCAAAACAACAAACATTTACAGTAGTTATATGGTCACCATTGGCTAGATTTTTATTCTCAAAATGTATTGAATTCAAATTTCACTACCTGCTGTGGAGAGATTTGAACAACGTCCCCTGAACATTAGCCTGGAGTTCTATATTGCTCGTCCACTGACATTACCACCCAAATCAATTCTCTCCACAACTTATATCCACCTCTGCAATCTAAAATTTAGCTATTGGCTCATTTATTCAAGTAAATGTGCAAAGAAAGACTTATGAACAGAATCCCAACATCCATTTTTGTCAGTGACTCTTGCATGCCTATTTGCCCAGATTACACCCCTGCACTGCAAAGTTCTTTAAGCAGTAATGTGGCACCTTCATATGCCTTAGGTAACAGGTCAAGTTCTCCTTTATTCACACGGCTCATTAAAATGGCCATTTTGAGAAATTAAAAACACCATTTGCCTTCCACAGAAGGAGGAACTCACTTGAACCACATCTGGGTGCACAGTCATCCAGAGCAGAGGGAGAGCAAACTTCAGCACTGCAGTGCAGGTAAACCTGGAGAAGAAAAAAAAAAGAAAAAAATTTAGGGGAGCTTCCTGTAGATTAATACCCGAGGATTTAGTACAGACAGCCAGCAAGAGGATTTCGTCAGCTTGGTCTCAATTCCAAGAGTTTGGTTACCTGTCCAGAGAGGGGCTGCTCAGACACTCCATCCAAGAAAACAAAGGTCTTCACTTCAAACCGCTTGTGATGGGTTGGGAACTGCAGGCCAGAAGAGGCGTCTACTGGGTGTAGGATGGTCAGGTAGTCATCATCCTCATGGGGCACCTGAAACAGGAAGGTTGTCAGTTTCAGTAGGAGATATTGATCTACTGCAATGACATCTTGGTCATTTTTGGCAGCAAAGCAGAGCTTCTGAAAGGAAGACTTCCCCCTTGGGCTCCCTTGCTATAATCCAGTTGGTTCTCCCAGGCAAGAAGTGTGGCTCACTAAAAACAGAGTCTAATGAAGCTAATGCAAATTAGGAACTATCTAACAGATTGTTGTTTACAACTCATGTCTGATGCACTCTTCAGGCAGAGGTATGAACTAAGGAAGTGCTCCAAACTGTCCTAGTTTAAGCTTGGAGTCAAATTCAACTCATCATTCCAGAGTGCAGGCTTAGACAGCACAGTGGGCTGCTTAGGGCCTCTTGTGGCAGTAGCCGTGTCCTACCTCTTGGCCAGAAGTCTGGGTCCAGGTTGCACCTGTTCAGAGTAGGGATGGGAGTCAAACACAGCTAAGTGAGTCAGATATACACAGCACAGAAACAGACCCTTTTGATCCAACTTGTCTATGCTGACCAGTATTCAAATCTACTCCTATTTGCCAGTATTTGGCCTATATTCCTACGAATTCTTCCTATTCATTATATCCATCCAGATGCCTTTAAAATGTTCAATAATACCAGCCTCTACCACTTCCTCCTCTGGAAGGTCATGCCATACGTGACCCACCGTCTTCATGAGAAAGTTGCTCCTCAGGTCCCTTTTAGATCTTTCCCTGCTCACCCCAAGCCTGTGAGCTCTAGTTTTGGGCTCCTCCACTACAGGGAAAGGTCACCCCTTCAGCCACCAACACTCCAGGGAAAATAGCCACAACCCATTCAGCTTCTCCCTATAACTCAAACCCTCCAACCCTAGCAACATCCTTGTTAATATTTTCTGAACCCATTCAAGTTTCACAACATCCTTCCTAGAGGGAGATGAGAAGCGCACAGTATTCCAATAGTGATCCAACCAATGTCCTGTAGAGCCACAGGATGACCTCCCAACTCCTATACTCAATGTACTGACCATAAAGGCAAGCATACCAAAACACCATCTTCACCACCCTGTCTACCTGTCAAGGAACTACACACCTTCACTTTGTTCAGCAACAATCCCTAGGACCTTACCATCAAGGTATATGCATCCTGCCCTGATTTGCCTTTCCTAAATGCAGCACCTTATTGAAATGAAACTCCATCTGCCACTCAGCCCATTGGTGTCTTGATCAGATGGCCATTTTACTGACTTAACCTTCACTGTCCACTATATCTCCAATTTTAGTATCATCTGCAAGCTTACTAACCATATCCATGTTCACATCCAATTTATTTATTTAAAATATTTTTTAAAAAAAGTCAAAGAAAGCAGTGGACCTGGCCCTCATCCTTGTGGCACACTGCTGGTCACAGACCTCCAAGTCTGGAAATCAACCCTCTCATCACTCTTCTGCCTTCAACAGGAGTGGCAGGAACTACATAGGATTTCAGGTGACACATTCTGTCATCCTGAGTTTCAGGAATGTCTACAGTATTTGCATTTTACAATAGGACTGAGCTGTCCTTCCACGGGATACATATATTCCAGGAGATCTACATTGTCAGTCATTAGTTTGCAGCATTTGTCTTGTTGCATCAGTGCAAAGTTAAGGATGTTGTTGTTCTACGGCAATTTCTGCCATCAAGCAGGCAGATATTTGAAGAAGAGGTGAGCTCATGATCCTGAAGCTGGGTGAAATACATAGAATCTGCTTTGACCTCTCCTAGTCCACAGGAACACTTTCCCAGTAACCCTGGCCTTAAGAGGAGCTTGACAATCACGGTCTTTGTGATAAGACAAAGCCATTAGCCTTTCCATTCAGAGTCCTTACCCATCCACCAGGAGACTCCACTGCACCTCATGGTCAGGGGCTGGCACAGGAGTAGCCCAGCAGTCACGCAATCTCAGGACAATCATTGGGTCAGTGCGATCCTTCACACTAACCTCAACAAACCTCAACGACTCCCGAAGGATCCTCTCAATGGGGTAGTCACTGTCCATGTACCACGGCCTGCAGTTGCCATCTAACAGAAACAAGGAGAACAAACCAGTCACTCCCTGAAGGAATACATTCCTGGTGCTCTATTACCAGGGCAGCACTACTTTTTGCTATTCGCAGTTCCAGCCTCAGAATCCCATCTTCAGAAGCAGCTAGTGGTGGAGGGAGGGTGTAAACTGAGACGTTGATTTGCAAGCCAGCCTCATGCTCCCCCTTGTACTTGCACTGAACGTGCAGGCTATCGAGAGACACAAGTAGGTGGTGGAGTTTCAGTCAGTAACACTTCCCTCTACATACCAACAAACCCCACTACCCTCTCACCTGAAGGTGCTGTCCCTGGTTATTAAGCCCCGTGGCCCCGTCTGAATCATCCTCTTCCCCAAAGCTTCCAGTCTCCTCCTGCAATGGAGGGCACTGTTTAATAGGGAGCTGGCCCATTCAAAAGGGACAGAATGCTGGAACCTCCAATACTCACCCGCTGGGTCGAGCCACAAGAGGTAATTGGGAAGCGGAAGGCTACAAGTTCATCTGTGATGAGCTTAGGCCTGCACTCAGCTTCTCGCCCATCTTTCACGTACAGAGATGACACGTTGAGGGCAGGACGGGTCAGGTTCCTGGTGATCGCTAGGATGAACTGGCCATCTGCTGTACACACTGCAAAGAGAAAGAAAGAGGTTCAGTTTCTCATTGGCGGTTATGGCCTCCAGTTATTGACAGAGGGATCAAGATTCAAAAACCCAAAAATTAACAGTTATGCTACTGGGAATCTGGTCTGAATTGTTTTTAAGTTATAATGGAGAAAAAACCTTAAAGGCAGACTGTCAACACACCATGGTGTGTGCTTGAATGTCAGCTCCATGAGCACAAGGTCCACATGCAGTAGCAGTGTCTGGAACTGACAGTGACCAATGTCAGCCTGCCCACCACAGCTCCAAACCATGGGGCAGATGCACATGAAGCTTTTGGGGGGTGGGGGGGGCGGGGAAGAGGGAGAAGAGGGCGAAATAGGGTCACTGGCCTGAATTGGCCATGCATCCACAAACTGGGATTTGTGTGCATGAAGAGAAATCTGCATGAAAGCTGACCCAACTACAGACCTGCTGAACCCAACCGTGTCAGGTCTGTCGTGATGACAGTGCAGTGAGCAACAGCTTCACTTCCGTCCAGATCTATTCATTCCAAATAAAAGAAAGTTCCAGCTCGCAAAGCTATTATACGTGAACTCAAACTAAGTCCTCAATCACGTAACAGATCTCGGTAGTGTACCATGAATTGTGCGATGAGCAAACCTTCATCTGGTCTTTAGGCCAAAGCTGGATGTGGTTGAAATTGGAAGAAAACAGGGACCAAACTAAATGCGGAATACTCCCTAGTGTCATTGTCACAGGTGCTGGAGAAGTGATGCTCAGAATGGGGCTTGATTAAAACATGGACACAAAAACAGTCAGGTTGAAGAACCATTGTTGGCTAAAAAAAAAAGTGTCTTTAATAACTACTCCCTGTCAGGAGTAGAGCTGAACAGTTACAGGAAATATGAGTGTTTCAGTACAGCAGCACACCATTCCAGTGTTACTGGCTGTAACATCAGTGAGAACATTGAAAGAGAGGG